TTGTTGTAGTGCACGATTTTTGTGTGTCATTCGTGGTTTCACTAATGAATGGTCAGTGGAGCAAGCTGTAGTCTTTGTCCGAGTAGTGAAGGAACATCTCATCATGATATTCGAACACTGAATCACTTTTTATAATGAGTAAACGGAAAAATCCGCGTAGTGGGTATGTACGTTAATATTGTTAGAAATTCAAGTCAAGTTAAGCGGTCCATGTCCATCCTCAAAATCTCAAGTAAGAACGAGTTGAACCGAAATGGAACAGAACCACATGGGATAATAGCTAGAATCTTTGTCCGTGAATCGATTTTGCATGTACGATCTTTTACTTGAGTTTCATGTGTTCATTCAATAGTCATTCATTACATGTAGCCTTATTCATCAAATATGATAACGATATTGAGTAAACTATCATCTGAATGCGTTGACAATAATTACCACAACTTATATAACACTCACCAGTTTAGTCTTCTAGAGGTCGAGGTGTCACAACTGGTTTTGTTTTGTTTTGTTTTATTGTCCTAACAATTTGAAGAATATATTGTCAACATTCTGTCCGTAAACCCACGGTGGTACTAGTGAATGTCAAAGTATCGGAACAGTGTCTTGAAGCAAAAGCAATTATATCAAGCTAGACACTTGTGTTTTGAAACCTTTCTGTTCGGCCCCGTGTTCACATACGGGCACACAAAACGAGATCTCTCTCTCTTGTCAGTGTTTCTTGCTGCTTAATTCTCTGTGGCGCAGGCGGAGTGTGACCCAAACCTCTCTCCTCGTCACTTCAGTTTGGCCGCAGACAAACTCATCAGGCAATACCACCAATTATTGTCCGGGGGTCATATTTAAGGCCGTGAGAAGTAGTGTTGACAGACAGACAGAGAGGTGGATGTGTACCCGCTTATTCATGCTTCATATCAACAATTTTCACCCCGCGGTGTAAGTATATTGTGTCATCCGTCTTTCAGATTAATTAGATACACTCAGAAAAAATTCAAGTGCTTGCCCGACCTGATTTTAAAACTGTTTATTGATATCCACAATTCCCATTCAGAGGCAATGATGCGAGGTCCCGGTCGAAGACAGACACCGCCGCCGCCACCACCACCACCAAAAAGAAGGCCTCAACCCAAACCTCATATGCAAGAGAAGAAACCGGAGGAGGATCTCCTGAATCAGTTTTGCGGCCTAAATGACACACAAACAAACTATACAAAACTCGGTTAGTTTTGTGATCTTTTCGCTCACCGCGTTTATTGCGTGTTATTGATATTTGTCGAAAATGTCCCACAGAGCCCATTTTTAAACAAAACAGCAGAGCGACGAGCAAGCCCGTTTTTGGATATTGGTATTCATGCCAATACATCTCAATATATATCACTAGTTAGGAATAAAATTGTCTTCGGAAAAGAAAAGAAAGTAAAATCACAGATTACTAGAACCGATTTCACCCTGTAACCGGAAATCGAGTTCACCACGATCACATGTTTGTTTGTTCACTCATCCGATCAGCTCTTGCACTAATTGTTTTTGGGTGCACAAGTGTGTGTGTGTATGTGTGTGTGTGTGTGTGTGTGTGTGTAGATGAATGCCCACCGCCTCCGCTTTAGCCAGCATCCGACAGCGATAATCGCCCACGATAATCGGAGTCGGTAGGCCTCGGACACGTCTACAGTGTGATTTGTTTCGGCTAGGTACGAAACCTTTGCACTGGTGAGTGACATAATCGTTCCGGTCTTCAACCACGCAGGGTGCTATTCACGAATCCGCTCGAACAATGGCCTGTGTGCCCAAAAACAATTTGTGCAAGTGATAAAGCTTCTTTGACCCCCCCCC